TTTTTTTTTTTTTTTTCTCTTCCCTCAACCAACTTGCGTACGATTTTATTGCGCGCGCACTTTATATTGCTATGAATCATCGTTGCACAATCGGGAATTCATGTTTCGCTTCGCGCAACTTCGACGATAAATCACCGAAAGAACGGGCTGCTGTTTTTCGTGCTATTTTCGCGAGGTATGATGCTCGTTCCTTGATTTTCCCTTCCTCTCTCTTTCTCTCTTTTTTTCTTGTCTCACATTGGCCGAGAACTCTGACAAACGAGGATGGAAAAAGTTCGATACGAGTAGACAGTCTTGCAATCTTATATACTCGCATTAACGCTCATAACAGAGAAAAAACATTGCTCTGAAAATCGGCGGGAAAAAAATAAAAATACCGTGAAAACAAAAGTAAAAATTCGGCTCTAGCCGTTGCTCGACACGTTGATCGCCGAGCGCAAATCGACTAGATTCAGGTTTACTGCAATCTAGGTTTACTCTTTACATGTCCTGGTTTTGTTTTTTATTCTGCTGTCTTTACGGTTTCGTTTTTTATTCTTCTTATTAAATTTACGACGTAGACGTGCTCTTCAGTGTTAGCAAATTACAAATTTCTACTCATTCTTTCGCGTCCGTCAAGTATAGACCATTTAGAGAATTTACAATTTGTTTAGTACAGTCTTGTTTAAAATGTTCCCCAATATATCACAAACGAATTATAATATTATTTATTTTTACGTAAGTAAAGTAGTTATGATTTCTTCAAAATAATCCAACAACTTACTATGTTATTATTATATCGTTGCTTTTTTTTTTACAATTTAATTCTTTCAATTTGAAAATAATTCACTATCCAGAAACTCGATACATTCTATCACATCATTCTTTGCCTCAAGAATTTAAAATTAAGATCGTCATCCATATATGAGCGACGTGTTAAATTCCGTCTAAAGACAAACACTCGAGCCTTCGCGAATGACACAACCGACACGTTTTGACCCCCAAGAGTTTCCCCCGTTTTCTATGCGCGTGCAGGCCGAGGGTAAACGTAACTCGTTCATCAGATTAGGCCATCGTGAACCCTCGCAGGTGACGAGGAAGCTCGTGGGGTGGGAGGCACTCAAGGCTGTTGAACGAGGCAGGAAGGAAAGAGGCCGATGGCACCCAGGAACCGAGTCGAGTGCCGAAAGGACTGCAGCCTCCTTTCATGTAAGGTAATTAACTACCGAGAACCGTTGACAAACACCTAACTCTCTCTCTCTCTCTCGTACAGCCGTCTCTCCTTTCCTCCAACTGGTTCCGCGCCGCGTTCCCTCCTTCTATGTATTTATTTTTCAAGCGGCCGTCCTCTTATTCCCCTCGGGT